CGAAGAGGATGAGGTGGAGGAGGAAGGGAGGGAGGAGGAGGAGGAGAAGGAGGAGAAGGAGGAGGAGGAGGAGGAGGAGGAGGAGAAGGAGGAGGAGGAGGAGTTGAAGGAGGAGCAGAAGGAAACGCGCATGAAGGAGTTGGTGGCTCGCAGAGGCGGGGTGAGAGGTGGAATCAGGATGGGTGCGCAGGAGGACAGGAGCAACATGAGGAGAGATCAGAGCAGGAGGCTGGGTAGGTGGGTGGGTGAGGTGAGCAGGGTGATCATATGACAAGGAGGACGATGATGACGATGAGGATGAGGAGGGGGCCGTCCCCTAGCCCAACCGTCGCCATGAAGAACACATGCCCCGTCGACGGCGGCTACCGATGGATGGGAGGGCGGCTGGAGCGAGGAAGCCAGCGCTGGGCGCCTGGAGTTTTTGTTCAGCTGTCCCCCTCGCTTCTGCTGCACCCCTAATCGTCACCGCCGCTGTCTCCACGCCGCCACCTCCGCCATAAGCAACCGCTGCCGCCGCGCTTGCCGCCGCGCTTGCCGCCGCGCTTGACGCCGCGCTTGCTGCCGCGTGCCGCCGCGCTTGCCGCCGCGCTTACCGCCGCGGTGTCGACGCTCAGCCGCCGCCGTGTCGCCGCGTCGTCGCCGTGCCGCCGCCGCACCAACGCGCGCCACTGCTGTCTCTGCTGGCGTTGTGTTTCATGCCGCCTCTGCTCGCCAGCCCCCCCCCCGCGGAGGCGTTCTCGCCGGAAGCGCCTGGGCCTGTGCGCGCACTTGGTGGGCACAGCGGCTGGGTGGTCGAGGAGGCTGTCGCCCTCCTCGCACCCCTACGTTTGCAGGGCCTCTCTGCTGCTGCTGCTGCTGCTGCTGCTGCTGCTTCTGCAGCTCTCCGTTTGCAGGGCCCCTCTGCCGCAGCTGGCTCCTCCAGTTGCTGGTGCGTGCTGGTGCTGGTTGCCTATCCTCCCTCCGCCCAGTGTTGGAGATGTCAAGCTTCAGGTCCACAAACTGTTTGGGAGTCTTGGGCGAATCGCCTGGCCCATCCTGGGCACGCCTGCCGGCGCGCAGTCGAGGGCCTGTGCGCAACGCGCGATCGGTTTCGCGCAGCGGGTCAGCATCTTGGCATCGCTCGGACGTGTGCATTTTTTCGCGGCGAGGACCATCGAGGAGCATCTTTCATCCTTTAGCGGAAAATACGCGCACGAAATCGAAGAATGCACGGGGAAGCGGCGTCCGAGCGATGGCGAGGCATGGCGGCGGCCATTCGACTGCAGTGTGACGGGCACAGTGGAGCAGCTTCAGTCGGGGGCGTGAGTGAAGTCATCGCGGTTGAGGTGGCTTTGCAGGGCGGCCGCGCCCCGCCGCAGCGCGACACCACGCGCATTTGGTTCGCCGCGCACGCCGCACACGCCGCGCCGCGCCGTCCCGCGCACGCAGCCGCGCGCGCACGCAGACGTGCGTCCGAGCGTGAGGGCGCTGGAGAGCCGCCGAGGTCATAGACTTCGAGGACGTGCAGGAGTTTTACGGCGAGGACGCCGCTCGGCTCGGTGCGGGCTTCTCGGCCCCGCTGCCCGCTGGGGGAAGCCCCCTGAATCCCCCCGTTCCCTGCCTCGTCTCCCTCCTCTTTCACTGCCCTCTTCTTCGCTGGAGGTGCGGTTGCCTGTGGTTCCAGGGGTGATTGGCACACAGCGGCTTCACATTGGGCGAGGAGGAGGAGGGGGAGGAGGATGAGGAGGAGGAGGAGGGAGGAGGAGGAGGAGGAGGAGGAGGAGGAGGAGGGGGGAGGAGGAGGAGGAGGAGGAGGAGGAGGGAGGAGGAGGAGGAGGAGGAGGAAGAGGATGAGGCGGAGGAGGGAGGGAGGGAGGGAGAGAGGGAGGGAAGAAGGGAGGGAAGGAGGAGGAAGAGGAGGAGGAGGAGGAGGACGATGATGATGATGTTTTCTGTCTGCTCCCCCCTCCTCCTCCTCCTCCTCCCTTATGTGGAGTTGCGTACCCCCAGCCGATCCAGAAACGATCGCCAGGCAGTGCAGGGAACAGCCGCATGCAGTGGAACAGCCGCTCAGACGGATCCGTGGAATACCGAATCCTACCGTCGCAGACCTGATGTGGTGCGATCCTCTTGGGGCCATCTTGATGTCTTCTTGGAGCCCCCTTGGGCTCTTCTGGAAGGCCTGTTGGAGTCTCCTTGGGGCTTCCCACGGGCTCCTTCGGACGGCCTTGAGGCCCTCTTGCGGCTCTCTGGGGCGATCCTGGGGCCCTCTGGGGACGATCTTGGGCCCAACGGCTGACACCGAGCGGCGTCGATCCGGGCGTCCTCCTCGGCAGCCGAACATTTCTTCTCCCGGTGCCATCCCGGAGCGCTATTATTGTGGAGGACGATCAATGGAGAGGAAACATGTTGCCAAATACCTTCCAGATGTCTAAAACATGTGTTAGACATTTTTTGAGCATGTACGAAGCATGTTTAAAATATGTTTACAACAGGTTCCCGACATTTTGATACACATTTTAAGTTCAATGGTAGAACTGTTAGGGTGTCCATTATCGTGGCGCCCACAACGCTATTGCTGGCCTCCAGCCAGTGCCGCCGATCCGGGGGGGGTGAGAGCGAGGGGAAGAAGGGGCTTGGGGTACCGAAAAAACGTCGGAAATGACGTCGGACATATCCCCGGGTACCGAAAAACGTCGGGAGTGACGTCGGAAACGTCGGGAGTGACGTCGGAAATGACGTACGCCCCCCCCCCCCCCCTGCAGAGCGAAGCTTGAGCGAGCTCAAGTCCACGCTCTCAGAAACTCACGCGCCGGATCGGCGGGTTCGGGGAGGCTCGTGGGCGCTCCTTGAAGACGTCTCGGGGGGCCTTCCTCCTCCTCCCCTTCTTCATTCTCCTCCTCCTCCTCCTTGTCCTCCTCCTCCTTCTCGTCGCTACTCCCTCCTCCCTCTTCCCTCCTCACTCCCTTCTCGCTTCACCTCCTCTCCCTCCTCTTCCTCGATTTCCTTCTCATCCTCCCCCCTTCTGCTCCCTCGCCGCCCCTCCCGCGGCTGGCCGGGGCCCCCTCGGGAGAGCCGCCCTGCGGCCTCCGGACCTCCTCGGGAGCGAGCGGCGCAGGCGGCGCAGGGCCTCGGCCTCCTCGGGGGGCGTGCCCTGGCCGGCCGGGAGGGCACCTCACAGGTGCCCTCTCCGGGCCGTCCGGGGTACGGTGCCGTTTTTGATACATGCTCCGCGTGCGGATCATGTACCCCAGATTTCGTGATAAAGGGGAGGGGGTCTGGACCCTCCAAGACGAGCCATTTCAGACCTCCCCCGTGGGAGAACCCTCCAAAACATCGTCCCCAGACCCCCCCAGGCCCTCCAAGATAGCCTGGAAGAGACCCCCCCCGAAATGAGACCCCCTCCCTTTTATTACGAAATCTGGAGTATCAAAACTGCCAGGACTTAGTATCAAAAACAACGATGAGTTCATGCATACATTTATTCATACATTAATCATGTGTTAAGCATCCCTGTAGGAGGAGGAGGCCGGGGAACAGCAGGCGAAGAGGGAGTGCGAGGAGGAACTGGGAGGAGGACCAGGAGGAGGCAGGGGGTATGGGCGAGGTTTCGTGACGATGGCGACGGGACGCTGCGGAGCACCCCCCACCCCTCTCCCAGAGTCTGGGGGCGCCCCAGAGTCTGAGCAGCACCTTTTTCAGATTTGGAACCCTCTTGGGGCTCTCTTCGGGCATCCGATCCGACCACGACCTGGGTGGATTCCCCGCGGGCTGGCGAGCACGGAGGGCCCATGCGGCCACGGACGGGAAAAGCTTCGAGTGGGAAGCCATGTTCTGGGACGTATCGGTTGGCGGATTCCGTGCCAAGTTGCTTGTATGTGTGTGTGTGTGGAACATAGACGCTCATGCATCCTGTGCAGTCCTCAGTTGTGTTTGCTGGATTTTAGAGGCGGCAGCAGCTGTGGGCGAAGACTTGGCCCCCTCCCTGTGAGGTTGCACGTTGTCCCAGTTGATCTGTTCTACATTCGGTTGGCCATGAGCGGACCTGGCCGCCGTGTGGGGATGCTCTCGTAGCTCCAGCTTTCTTCGTAGCCCAGTCCACTCCGTGCTTCGTCTAATCCACATTTGAGTGTATCTATGTACGGTAGGTTTGCGTCGTGTCGACCAGCGGCGATCCCAGCGCGGGCGTTCAAGGTTGAACGCCGCCGGCGACCCAGAATCGATCGATGTTGAACGATCGGACGTTGCGGCAGCGGCCGATCGTTCAAGGTTGAACGATCCCTGCGGTGTCAAAAACCAACGCTGGGGTCGGCACGACACGAACCTGCCGTAGTAAGGCATGGGATCGGCTCATCATCGAAACGGTGTGCGGTGCATCGTCTTCCTGCGTTTACGGCCCGGCCCTGACGCCTCGATGCGGTTGTCTGTGCATCCTTCTCCTCCGCCGGTCTGCCTTCCCCTCCTTCTCTTTCTCGTCTTCGTCCGTCTCCTCTCCCGACTCCTCGTTCTCGTGTTTGTTGTTGTCTTCATTGTCCCGACTGGAATTGGGATTGGAGGCGGAGGAGGAGGAGGAGGGAGGAGGAGGAGGGAGGAGGAGGAGGAGAAAGAGGAGGAGGAGGAGGAGGAGGAGGAGGAGGAGGAGGAGGAGGAGGAGGAGGAGGAGGATGAGGAGGATGAGAGGATGGATGGATGGAGGGGAGGGAGGGAGGGAGGGAGGAGGGAGGGAGGGGAGGGAGGAGAAGGAGGAGAGAGGAGGAGGTGGAGGAGGAGGAGGAGGAGTGCGTGGGCCCCCTGCGCAGGACTTGGAATTCCCCGACTGCGCGGTCCATCCTGCCATCTCCGAGGAGTGCGGCGTGCCACGGCGCCCCGGATGGGTCAAGAATCTTGGGCTGTCCACGGCAGTCCCTTTTCCTTCCTCCTCCACTTTCTCCTCCTCCTCTTCCTCCTCCTTCTTCTCTTGCTCCTCCGGGTCTCCGCCCCCTCGGTCTGGCGCTTCGTCTCGACGATGCCGCTCGCCGCACCTTGAGCCGTCGACCCTTCTAGGAGGCGGCCGAGGAAGAGGCGAAGGACGGGGAGGAGGAGGGGGAGGAGGAGGAGGAGGAGGAGGAGGAGGAGGAGGAGGACGTGGAGGAGGAGGAGGAGGAGGAGGAGGAGGGGAGACGAGGCCGTCGACGACACCGCGACGACGCAAGGAGGCCAACGACGACGACGACGCTGACGCTGACGGCGACGACGACAACGCTGACGCTGACGACGACGACGACGCTGGCGACGACGACGCTGGCGCTGATGACGACGCTGACGCTGAGGACGGCGACGATGACGACGCTGACGCTGGCGACGACGCTGACGCTGTCGCTGACGACGACGCTGACGACGACAACGAAGAAAACGACGACGATGATGGCGCTGACGCTGACGACAACGGCGACGCTGACGCTGACGACGACGACGCTGACGCTGACGACGACGACGACGCTGGCGCTGACGACGAGGACGATGTTGACGCTGACAACGTCGACGCTGGCGCTGACGACGGCGACGACGCTGACGCTGGCGACGACGACGACGCAGACAATGTTGACGACCACCACGATGCTGACGCTGATGCTGTCGACGACGACGACGCTGACGCTGACGGTGACGACGACGACGCTGACGCTGACGACGACGACGACGGCGCAGACGCTGACGACGACGACGTTGAATCTGACGAGGACGACGCTGACCTCTGACGCTGTCGACGACGACACAGACGACGACGATGTCGACGACGCCGCCAACGCTGACGACGATGACGCTGTCGACGACGACGCTGACGCTGACGACGACGACGGCGACGCCGACGCTGACGCTGACGACGGCGACGCTAACGCTAACGCTGACGGCGACGCTGACGACGACGCTGACCTGTGACGCCGACGACGACGCTGACTCTGACGACGGCGACGACGCTGACGCCGTTGACGACGACGACGACGCTGACGCTGACGACGGTGGCGACGACGATACGCTGAGGACGACAACGACGTTGACGCTGACGCTGGCTGTGACGACGGCGCTGACGCTGACGAGGACGATGACGCTGACGCTGCCGACGACGGCGACGACGCTGCCGCTGACGACGACGACTAGATTTGGCGATGACCACGAAGCTGGCGCTGACAATGACAACTCTGACGCTGACCATGACGGCGGCGTCGCTGATGCTGACGACGACGACGACGCTGGCGCTGACGCTGACGACGACGCTGGCCTTTGACGATGACGACGGCGACGACGATGACGACGCCGTTGACTCTGACGACGACGACGACGCCGACGCTGACGCTGACGACGACGACGACGCTGACGACGGCGACAACGACGCTGACGCTGAGGACGACGACAACACTGACGACGTTGACGACGACGACGCTGACGCTGTTGACGGTGGCGACGACGACGCTGACGTTGACCACGACGCTGACGCTGACGCTGACTGTGACGACGGCGACGACGACGACTCTGCCGCGGACGACGGCGATCAGGCTGACGCTCACCACGACGACGACGACGACGCTGCCGCGAGCGACGACGACGACGACGCGAACGACGACGACGACGACGGCGGCGACGGCGGCGTCGGCGACGACGACGACGACGACCGCGTGCGCGGTCCCCCCCCCCCCTGCCGAGCATCCGCGAGTGCCTCCGCGACGGCCTCGCCGAGGCGCGCTGCCTGCCGGGCGGCCTCCTCGGGCGCTGCCGCGGCCTCGGGCGTGCGGGGCGCGGGGTCGCTCCGCCGGGGGGTGGCGGCGGGCTGCTGCGTGCGCCCGCGACGTGCGGGTGGTTGGGTGGCCCGAGCGTGGGCCCCGGCCCCCTGGGGGTCCTGATGCCCACCTCTCTAGGCCTCCCAGATGGGGTCGGAGCAGATGTGGTCGGAGGATCGCGCCGCATCGGCGATGCATCGGCGATGCATCGGCGATGCGGCTCGATGTGGGGCCCGTTTTTCTCCACGCCGACGTCGCGGATGCATCGCTGACGCCCCCAGTGCATGGCCGATGCATCGCCGATGCATCGCCGATGTATCGGCGATGCGGCGAGATCCTCCGACCCCATCTACTCTGACCCCATCCAGGAGGCATCTAACCTCGGCGCGGCTCCCCTTGCGAGGTCCGCGCGGAGGCGGGAGAGAGCGTGGCGCTCCCAGGCGGGGCGCGACGGTCGCGGCGGAGAGGGCGGTGTGGGTGGGGGGTGGGGGGGGGTGAGGCGAGGGAGACCTGTGGACAGAGCGTGGGGGCGGGCGGGCGTGCGGTGGAGGAGGGGGGAAAGTGCAAAAGCTGGGAATCTGTGAAAGGGGTCAGTTGTTTACAGTGCCGTTTTTTTTATACATGCTCCGCGTGCGGATCATGTTCTTTGTTTTTGTTAAAAAACAGGGATTTAGTATTAAAAGCAACGAGGAGTTCATGCATCAATTCATTCATAAACTAATCATGTATTAAACATCGGGTATGTTTTAAAATCCTATGGATTAAAAACTGCCCTGTGGCGTCCTTCTCGCCCCCTGAGCCGCAGCGTGGTTCGCTCCTGCGCGCTTAGTGCCTAATTTTGAGCTTGGCGCGGCTGCCTCGTTTCTGGACGGCGCGCGGTTGGACCGCGGCGCTCGCGAACAGAAAAGAAGGGGTCAGGTGGTGGAAGTGGCCCGAGCGGGGCTCTCACTCCCCGCGCAGAGGAGTGAGAGCTCCCTCGGCTTGGCCCCTGAGGTTGGCGCGGCCGCCTGGTCCTCGCTCGCCGTGGGAGGTGCGGCCCCCCACGGCGGCCCGTGGGGAGTGCGGCTTTCTGGTGTTCCCCCCCTCTTGGGCTCTTCGACGAGGAGAAGGAGGATGAGAAGGAGGAGGAGGAGGAGGAGGAGGAGGAGGAGGAGGAGGAGGAGGAGGAGGAGGAGGAGAAGGAGGAGGCGGAGGAGGAGGAGGACGAGGAGGAGCAGGACCAGAGTCAACCCAAGAGTCATCAACGATGTTTGATCAAACCCTCCCTCCAAGCTCTTTTTGCATAGGCCCCTATAGGGAATCACTTCCATTGAGGGATCTCCCTGGAAAACAACGGTCTGAAGACCCTGAAGCATGCCGAAACGTTGTTCTCGGGATGCCAACGCCACGGATCAACCTGATTGTTGCGTCGTGACGGTCCTTACTAACGCCAGAACGCCTTTCCTGGAACTTCCACACTGCGAATCAACGTAACTGTTGCGCCGCTTCTTCCTGAATCCATCCAAAACACCATCTGTTGTCCGCTGATCATGGGAATCCGTGAAGCCCTTGCAAATTTGAAAACAGAGTGCGCGCGGCGCTAGGGCGAAAACCACATTTTGAAAAGGAGCCGCCCTCAACCCGTGAAGCTCTTGCAATGTTTAACACGAATGTGCGCGTCGTCAAGGCGACAACCACATTTTGAGAACGACCCGCCCCCAACGCGTGAATCTTTGCAAATTGTTATAACGAGCGTGCGCGACGCTAAGGCGAACGCGACATTTTGAATACAGCCCGCCCTCCATCATTTTTCAGCGTCAGGGTCATACATGGTGAAGAAGTCGCAGGCGAAACGCCGGGCCCACCCTAAAATCTGGCTTCGGGGTGCGACAGGGAACAATTATTTATAAGGAGAAGGAGTTGAAGAGGAGGACGAGGCTGAAGAGGAGGTGGACGGAGGGAAACGCAGGAAGAAGGATTATATCGATGAGGAAAAATGGTAAATGAATAGCGGGAGGAGCGGGACGATGAGGGGGAGGCAGAGGTTGAGCAGGAGCAGGAGGATGAGGAAGAGGGGGAGGATGATGAGAAGGAGAAGGAGGATGGAAGGGGGGAGTAGCAGGAGGATGGTGAATTGGATAGGACGAGATGAGGGTGAGGATGAGGAGGAGAAGGAGGAGGAGGATGAGGAGGAGGGGGAGGAGGAGGACGGAGGGAAGCGCAGGAAAAAGGATGATAATGATGAGGACAATCGGTAAATGAACAGAGGGAGGAGCAGGATGATGAGGAAGAGGCAGAGGAGGAGGAGCAAGAGGAGGATGAGAAGGAAGAGGTGGAGGGGGAGGAGGAGGAGGAGAAGGAAGAGGAGATGGAAATCAGTCATCAACTCGGCGGTCACGGGGTAGACCAATGACGACATCAAGCAAGTCGTGCTTGCTCCCATTGCCGATTCATGGGCCGCAGCTGTGCCACCAAGGCTACGAGATGTGCACCGTGTGGGAGGACGTGGAAGAGGAGTCGTAGGAGTAGATGGTTCATTCTTCTCCTTCTCCTTTCGGAGTGGCCATCGATAGTGGAGCCTGATAAAAACCAGCAGTTCATCACAAGGATTCATTTCCTGTCATCTCGTCCATCTCGTCTCACCTCTCTGGCGACTCATTGCCTTGCCGTGCGGTGTGCGTCCCCACTGGCGCGGTGCACGTGTCTGCGCTCGCATGAAGGCGACCATGCAGTCTTTCTCTATCTCTTTCTCTCTCTCTCTCTCTCTTTTTTTTTTTTCTCTCTCTCTCTCTCTTTCCTCCTCCCTTTCCCTCTCCCTCTCCCAGAACCTCTCACTGTCCCCTGCATTGTCCCTCCTCCTCTTGTCGTCCCCTGCCTCCCTCTCGCTGTCTCGCTCTCCCTGTCCACGCCGGCAGTCGCCTCCTCTCCCGCGCACGCCCTTCTCGCCCTTCTCGGCTCGGTGCTCCGACCCTGCAGGTGGGGCTTCCACGGGCGTGGGCTGGGCGGGCACCAGTCATGGTGGTATACTCCAGATTTCGTAATAAAAAGGGAGGGGGCTGCACCCTCCAATACAAGCCATTTCAGACCTCCCCCGTGGGAGAACCCTCCCAAACATCGTCCCCAGACCCCCCCAGGCCCTCCAAGATAGCCTGGAAGAGACCCCCCCCGAAATGAGACCCCCCTCCCTTTATTACGAAAACTGGAGTATGTATGGGGGTCGTGGATGTGGTGTTAGTGGTGCTCCATCGCTGCCCTCTTGGTGTTGCACGCCAACCTCGTCCGTCAGCACCATCAGCATCACTGTCACCATCACCATCACCATCACCACCATCGCCACTACCGTCATCAGCATCATCATCACCATTACCATTACCATTACCATCACCATCACCATCACCATCACGACCGCCATCACCTTCACCATCACCATCACCACCACCACTGTCACCATCACCATCACCACCACTACCATCACCATCACCATCACCACCACCTCACCATCACCATCGCCATCACTATCACTATCACCATCACCATCACCATCACAATCACCATCACCGCCTCCATCACCATCACCATCACCATCACCATCACCGTCATCATCACCACCACCATCACCATCACCGTCACCATCACCATTGTCACCACAATCTTCATGATGCTGATGATGATCATCATCATCATTATCATCACCACCATCATTATCATCATCATATTCATCATCACCAGCATCATCGCCACCATCATCACCATCGTCATCATCACCATTGTCACCATCACCATCATCATCATCATCATCATCATACTCAGCATTGTCCTCATCATCACCCCCACCATCATCACCACCACCATCATCATTATCGTTATCATGGTCATCACCATCATCATCAACATCATCATCATCATCAGCACCATCAGCACCAATGTCATCATATCCATCATCATGATTCTCATCCTTTAGCATTTACGAGTTGCTCGTGGACCTCCTCGTTCTTTACACTCTGGCGCCTGGCATGGCCGCCGATGGCCCTCCCATGCCCGCGCTGTCGGGGACGCAGCGCTCGATGCCCGCCAGGGTGTCTGCAGGGCTCCAGAAAGGAAGCGCTCCCTCCTCTCTCGTGCTCTCGCTTTCCCCCTCCTTCCTCCTTTCTCTCCCTCTCTCATCCTCAGCCGTTCTGGCCCAGGTTGGGCTTGGAACTGCGAACGTCAGAACGGCTGTGCTGTTGCGGGTTTTTGGCTCGGCGATACCACTTACATCTTTCGTTTCAGGGCGAGGGACCTCATCCCTCTCAGTTCTAAGTCGTGGATGGGTCTTGCGTCTACAGGCGATGTCGATGATCGCCCATGGCGCACAGGCCGTCCATTCACGAGAAAGCCAACGCGGATGCGCAACGCATGCGGATGCGCGCGTAGCAAGACGTCATTATCTTGGTGCAAAGATTGCGGGGAAGCTTGGATCAATTCTTCTGTGGCTCATCCTCCAACTCCTGGTGGCGCTTTGTCCAAGCCGCTCGCCCTCACCGACGGAACGGCTGCATTCTTCACTCCAGGTCTTCAGCCAGGTCACATCGGGTTAAAAGACGGGGGTGACAAAGGACGCGGCACAGCAGGGAACGGTCTGTGTTTCAAAGACAAGTGCAACGGGAGGCGAGAGCTACGGGTGATGCTGGTGGGCTCATCATTATCCAGGAAGCTTCTACAATCGTGCCGTGCCTCCTGGATCCCGAAGTGGCGCAGCTCCTCCAGGTCCAAGCGTTGCCATCGCATGTCCGTGAATGAGCTCGAGGCTTTCACCTAGCTTCGTATGAGGTGTTGGAACACACAGGAAGTGCATCTTCTTCAGTGTCAGCTGGCGGCGTTGCAACCACCTCCCAAGAAGGAACAGTCTATGGAAGAGCAGGTCGCCCGTTGCGACAGGGAAATCAGCAAACTGGCGAGGAGGATGTCGAACGATTTTAATCAGTTGGGGAACCGGCCAGCTCAGTCGGGAGCTCGAGGATCTGGATCGGATGCATGATGCGTTGTCGGAGCAGCTGGCCTCCCAACATAACATGTCTGAGGCGGGCACGAGCAAGCCTTCGGATACGCTCTCGGACCTCCGGTCGGGCAAGATTGACTCCTTCGAGTTGGACGTGGGTGACCTCTTGGGCCTTGACCCAGAGTTTGAGTCGTCGAGTGCGCAGGGCGTGGCTGGGGCCAACAAGCGTCAGGAGCAGCTACTCACGGGGATCATCACGATGGCAAAGGATCAGGAGGAAAAGAAACACACAGACACAATTAATCGTCGATTCCCCAGAAGATGTAGGAAAATATGGGAAGTGGGGGGGAAGACAGAAACCCAGAACATATGGGAAAATATGGGGAATCTTTTTATTTGTGTGTATTTATTTGTGTGTCCCAGGGCCCCTTCAAAGGAGTTGTTTTGGAAATCAATGGAGCCGATGCAGGCGGCGAAGGTGGCGCGCCAGGAACGGGCGGCCAGGCCAGCTGCAGAGATGCGCCGAGGTGCAGACGGAGCTCCTCCAGGCGCAGCTGTCGACGCTGGTGGTCCAGGAGGTGCGGTCCAGGTCCTCCTCCCTCCTCCTCCTCCCTCCTCCTCCTCCTCCTCCTCCTCCTCCTCCTCCTCCTCCTCCCTCCTCCTCCTCCTCCTCCTCCTCCTCCTCCTCTCCTCCTCCTCCTCCTCCTCCTCCTCCTCCTCCTCCTCCTCCTCTCCTCCTACTCCTCCTCCTCCTCCTCCTCCTCCTCCTCCTCCTCCTCCTCCTCTCCTCCTCCCTCCTCCTCCTCCTCCTCCTCCTCCTCCTCCTCCTCCTCCTCCTCCTCCTCCTCGTCCTCCGCCTCCTCGCGATCCGTCTGGCCCCTATGGGCCGCCAGGCGTAGCGGAAAACCGAAACCCCGACACAAACTGAATCCATAGTTTCTCTGATCTGGGAGTGAAGGCGCAGCGTCGTCGGGGCCGGCGGCGGCGGCGGCGGCTCTTCCGGCGGGTGCTGAGGGCCTCTGGGCTCGGTTGGCAAAGATGCGAAAGCCGGCCGAAGCGGTGCCCGCCAAGTTTTCGCCCGGGAACAAGGGACCCCCCCCCCCGCCTCCACGTGCTTCGACGCGTGCAGGGGGGCCTCCCAGCGGGTTTTCCTCTTAGGCAGCAGTGTTTAGATCGCAGACATCATCCTGCAGAGCTGTCGCTCCGAGCCATCGAGAAACCCTGGCCCCCCTAGCGGAGGAATTTGAGTTTGTCGTGGAAGCTGTCAACTGGATTGGTCATCGATCGAGGAGTGGCTGCCCCAGTGCAAGCCACGCGTGTTCCTTGTGCTTCGGCGCGAGCCCCAAGCGCGGGGGTGGGGGGGCGTGGGCCGTTTTTTTTTTTTTTTTTTTTTTTTTGTTTGTGTGTGTGTGTGTGTGTGTGTGTGTGTGTGTGTGTGTGTGTGTGTGTGTGTGTGTGTGTGTGTTGGTTTATATATATATATAAAGATATATAATATATATATGTATACATAAAAATAGTATATATAGATACAAGATCCTGAGGTTTGTCTTGGCTCCCAGGGCCCTTGGAGAGGGGGTGGTGGGGCGGTGGTGGTGGTGGGGGTGGGGGTGGTGGGGAGGGGGGGGCGGGTTGGTGAATGATTTAAGCCCCACTGTTCAGCCTGCCCATTTGGGGCATTTTTTCTGTAGACCGCGGAACAATCAGCAGATTTCAAAGGCATCCTATGTTCAGTTTGCAAGTGAACGCGATGCTCGTACATTCTTGCAATCTGTTGGAGGCAAGCCGCGGGGGGGGGGGGGGGCGGGCGCTTCGGGCGCTGCCGCGCTCGCTTTGGCCTGGGTGGGCCTGTGGGCCACCTGCGGGTGGGATCGCCGTCCAGGCCGTTGGGGCCAGAGTCCATCGCCCTGGAGGCCAGCCCATCCTCTTCTCCTCCTTTTACCCCATCGAATCAGGGGGTACCCATCGGTCGTTGAAAGTAGGTATTTTTGGATTCCCAGATTCCAATCTACTTTCAGCGCCTTCCTACTTCAAGAGTCGAGTGGTTTTCCCTCTTCCCTCCTCTTCAGGAGGAGGGCGGAAACCCAATCTATGTCCAACGCCTTCCTACTTCATGCTTCTACCTATTTCTTCCGACCGATGGGTACTGATGACTTGAATTGGGGATTCTTGGTGCTGTAGGAGGGCAGCTGTCCGCGTCGGGGTTCCCTGTCGTTCCCGGCGGTGCATTCAACGACGGGCCAGACCCCGGCGCTGGGGCAGTGTTCGTTCGCGACGTGCGGGGTCAGCTGGTTTACGTGTCGGCGGAGGGGCCCGCGCGCGTCGGCTCAGTCGGCCCCGCGATTACTTTGTCGTCTCAAGGGCCTGTTGAAGGCGGTGTGCTCGGTCAAGGTGACATCTGCGACGGCGTGCTTCTCGCCCCGCGCTCCTGTGCGTTTGAGTTGTCTCCGTTGGGTAACTTGCGCGTCGCTTCCTTCGAGGCCCCCCCCTTCCGCCTCCCTCCTGTCGATGCCCCTTTTGGTCTCCCGCCTGCGCCCCTGCCTTTCCGGAAATGCGGGGCCCTCCTGGGCGAGGCGCAACGTGGGGTTGCCTGGGGGGGCGCGCCCCCCCGGTGCGTTTTGCTGGACGCGGGCTATCTGAGCCATGGTCGAGCGCTTCGGAGGAGGAGGAGGAGGAGCTATGTAACGTGATGGCCTGCGCCCCCCCATCACTATGGAACTGGCTGGAGGCAGATGGGCCGCCCTCCGGTGACGGCCCGTCCTCGGTCGAGACTTCGGAGCCCCCAATTGTTCCGAACTCCATCACAGCAGATGGTTCAGCTCGTCCTCGCAGAGGTTTTAAATGCATCCTGGGGCTCAGGAACTGCCGCGGGGCGCGCTGCTTCGATGCGAACACCGTTGCAAGCTTTCGTGTCTCCCCCTCAGGTTGTGCTGGGAAACCGTGGTGAGTTCTTGCCGATGCGTGTTGCTGCTTCGGACCATGCCGTGCGATTTCTGTCTGGTGGTGAGGTGCCCGATAGCGTCCCCCCCGCGAGCTTCTGGTTGTTCCCTGTGAGGTTCAAGAGGCCTTCCACGCATGCAATGCTGACCGTGATGTTATCTCGCGCAAGGACTCGTCAACGTGGCTCGTCGACGGTGCCAGCCAAGGGGCTGGGCGAGCCCGCTTAATTTGCAGGGTCCCAGGGGCCTTGGGGCTTATTCGCACGTTGAGTAGGTGCGCTTCTATTGTGGCTGACCTGTCGGAGCTCTTGGAGGCTCCTAGGGTCAATCTTGCTTGCCGGGAGCCGTTGCGTCAGGTTCTCGTGGGGGCCTGGGGGGGTGTCTCGTTCTTCTTTTAGGGAATCGGCTGTCGTGTTGAACGGTATGCGCGTGCGCCGCTACTAGCTTCTCCCAGGCGCCTGCTCGCGCGCTCTCTGCGTGATTCTGTGTACCGTGGAGATGGTGGGTGGAGTGCTGTCTCGTCGGCTGCGGGCGGCCCTTTAACCGTGGCGTCGATGCCGAAATCCGTCGCTGGGTTCTGTCCGACAGGGCCCAAGAGGGGAAAAAACACACAGACACAATTAATCGCCCACTCCCCAGAAAATATGCGAAAATATGGGAAGTGGGGGGGAAGACAAAAACCCAGGAAAATATGGGAAAATATGGGGAATCCTTCTATTTGTGTCTACTTATTTGTGTGTCCTAGGGCCCCTTCAAGGGCTCCTCTCTAGCCCGTGGCGGCCTTCGGGAAGGGCCCGCGGGCCCCGGCGGTAGCATGGGGAAGTCAGTTCGGCTGGCCCTGCTGGGCCGCGGGCGTGCGCGGGTCTGCCTCGAACGTGGTCTTGCGACGGGCTATCGCAACCGAGGCCGGCACCTCCCCGGGCCGGCAAGTGGTCTCCTTCGCGTGGGGCACGCGGAAGTACTACGAGCAGATCCCGCTCGCGCTGCTTGACGTGCGAGGCCGCGGGCTTAATCTCAATCCGGTTCTGCTCTTATCTCTGCCTGGCGGCGTGCCGCTCGGCCCGGTTCGCGGTGCTTTGCGGTGTGGCTGCTGGGGCCCAGTTCGCTCCCAGTGGGTCTGTCGCGGGGTGCTCGATGGCGACTGCGATGATCGAAGTGTTTGGGGCGGAAGCGTCCGATGCG